AATATCATCACGAATATCATCTTGCATCAAATGACCCCACAAGCGTCACCTGCATGAATAGAAAGATCCTTCTCGGTGGCCGCCGTCGAGTTAGTGTCGCTTCATCCGCCCTCCTATCGCTCTCTCGAATATTCAATGTGGTGCTCCTTCTCAGGACTGTCTACAGTCAATGAGTCTCGAGCCTCCCTATCGCACTCCCTCGTCCTGTCTTCGTCACCGAAGGCCACAAATGGCACCGGCTTGGGCACCTCTTGGCCTTCCTGCTGAGGGAGGTCCTCCTCCTCATCGCCTCCCGGGAAGAGATCCTCATTGGCTGTCTCCGCCAGAGCTTCGAGTGGCCCACCACCATCACCACTACTACCTCACACATCTTACATGATCGACTTCCCATCGCCAACTGCCGACGAGTCTCCCCAGGCCAATCCAACGCCCCGATGGCTCCTTCTCCTGTATAGTGCAAGTCTCAACGTGGATGGGACTGAAGATTCACCAGGGGTCGGCATGAAGCTTCTGAGAGCTTCCATCAGTGCGGATACCCAACGCGGGCTGCCACCGCCCAGGATGATAACTTGAAATTGACAAATATATATTCTCGTTCACTTCAAAACGACCGTTTGAGGTCAGAAGCTGAGCAAGAATACTAACCTTGCCTCGTATGAGAGCTTACCATAACGACCCGCGGTCCGAACGGGTATTTGCTGGGCAAAACGATTCGGCCATGATATCGTCCGCCCTGAAAAACAGTCCCGGCAGCCCACATATAATGCCACTCGAAAACGCTATTGGCAGCTACAGAGGAGGTTCGTTAGAGGTTTACCACGGGTGGTCAGTACCGGGAGGGAAGACGATCCAGTTGGTGCTCGGGTCGCGCTGTATTTGTAGGATCTCCGTTTGAGTCCATCGAGTTGTCGGACTCGACGCGTTCACGTGGGAGCTACTACTACTGTTGCTATCGTTAGTCGGGGTGCGATAACAGTAAAATCAACTTCAACGATGAGGACGTGAAGGAAAACATGAACTTTGGGATTTGTCACGCGCCACGAAATTACTTGGACAACTGAGCAAGATCACGCACGCAAGTAATGGTCGTCGTCTTAGAGGCTTGGGGTGCACCTTCTATGGTGGCTGGATGCCCTCACATGCCTTCGTTGGCAGGCAGGCTCCAGTCACTGGGTGAACATGGGTACTCGCTCGTTAGTCTGCTCTATTCGAGTTGAGCAGCAGCAGCCGATGACGTCTTCACGATTTGGTTCTAGTGCCGTACAGTCAAAAAGCCCTTGCCTAGTGTTGCACCTGGAATACTAGAAGAGCCGCTCTAGAATGAGCTCGTATGGGAGAGCGAGAATGTCGTCCCAACTCGCGGGAGGAGCGTTGTTGGAATATATCATTGCTTCCCTCAGCTGAGCTCAGGAGTTTCCTATAGAGGTTAACATACGAATTCGGGTAGGAGTGTACAGAAACCAATGAGAATTTTCCCAAAATTTCCTCAGAATTTTCACATTGTCACCAACACGTGTAGATGACCATGTACATATTTTCCCCCACACTACTTCCAAATCTCTCAGGAGCTTCTCGGCGATCCGACATGACTTTCCATCGCCCCCCAACTGCCTCCCAGCCCCCTACTGCAGAAGTCGCCGATCTCGCCAGGTGAGCACCACCTCGCATATGAGGGGCCTGAACTCCCACTCAGGATTACTTCTATGTCGTCGCTGATGTCCAATGCCGTGGCTAGGGCCACTGGGAGGAGGCCCAGAAGGGCTCTGGTGACGCGTTGAGACCATCTTGTCGTGATACCTGATTTCAGCTGCTCTCTCCCTCAATCACTCGAGCGGACATCCCCTGGCCTGCCAGGACAGACTGGGGCGGGCACGATCCTGCCACACCCTTCGCAGAGCTTATGATCAACACACATTCAATGTTCTGGCCGGTAGCTATTTTCATATACGTCTCGGCTATGTGAGTTGATCTCTTGTTAGACCAGCCGCCGTATTGGTTCATTATCAGATACATGGTGAAAAAGTAATAGGAGGTAATATTGAACAGATCGTACAGAGGCTGGCGGTCCCATTGGAGGGAGCGCCTCCTCATGAGCAATACTCAGCTCGCTACTGCTGGATTACCTTCGAGCTCTATTATTTTGAACAACTTCCTGTCGTCGAGTTGTATTATATCTCTTCAATGGTTTCTGGGTGTCCGTTCGATGCATTGTTATGAGCCCTTTTATGGTAGAGCTTCGTCTGAGCGGGTGTAATATCCCAGATAGGATCGATATTGCCAGTGTGTGCTAGTGAGGCATGAATGAACTTGGTAT